AAACCAGTGAGACCGATCAAGGACAAAGAAGGGGAGAAAATAACTCACATTCAAGAACAGAGGAAAAGATGGGTAGAACACTTTGAAGAACTCTTGAATAGATGAGCTCCAATGAACACACCGGACATCAAAGCAGTACGTACAGATCTTCTTATAGATGTCACGTCACCAACAATCGAATAAATCAGGATGGCCGTCAGACAAATCAAGAGTGGAAAGCAGCAGGGCCAAACAACATATCAGCTGATATATTGGAGTCAGATATTGAAGTAACTGCAAACATGCTTCACCTTCTATTCAGGAAGATTTGTGAGGAAGAACGAGTGCTGATAGACTGGATAGAAGGATACCTTATCATTGTACCAAAGAAAGGAGATCTGAGCAAATGTGAGAATTACAGAGGCATCACACTACCATCGGTACCAGGAATCGGATGAAAGACTCAGCAGACTTCCAAACCGGATTCCTTAAGGATTGGTCGTATACAGATCGAATCACGACACTGCGGATCATCGTTAAACAATCAATTGAATGGAACTCGTCACTGTACATCAACTTTCTTGATTATGATAAAGTATTTGACAACGTGAACATGGAAACATCTTCGACATTATGGAGTGAGTAGCTGAGAAGATCGTCAACATAATATGAATTAATAGTAAGTTTGTAGTGAACGAGAGCGCAAGTGGAGATAACATTATAGAACCGTATAATAGATACTTCATTTGCAAAATGTTCATTCATTGTCTCAGACTTCATTGTTCCTACATTTCTATATCAATTGTTTTCTGTTCCCATTCTTTCCTCCTCGATCTTATCGATTTTCCACTGCCAAACATTCTATTCCTGACTAACGTTATATACTACTGTTGTGAACAAAACACAAGTTGGGTACAATCGAATGTATTTAAGCACATATTACAGACTATCTCATTAAATTCTGATAACCATACAGTCAACAGTTAATTTGCGAAATAACAATCAACTGTCTCAACCTTGACTGTTGATTCTGCAAATATCATTCCGTCTTCTCTGGTTTCATAGTTCATGCATTTTCATACCGATCATGCTTCATTCCTGTTCTTTCCTTATCAATCTTCTACCAAAATACATTCTATGTTTGAATATCACCATATACTACTTATATAGATATAAGTAGACCACACCACACTACTACTATATCGATATAAGTAGCATATAACACACGAGCTAACCTAAAATATATCACTTTTCCATATTAAAAAGTAATTTTCTATTATAGAATGAAATGACTGGATTTAATAGATGTGGTTATCGTTACTCATCATTGATAAATAGTCATATGAATTACAAATTGATGTCATCAAAACTGATAGTATGTTTTGAGCAAAATCTTATTTCATTCTATAAATAGGCATCAAATACATACATTTAATTGTACAAAGTTATAGAATGAAATCGCCGATTACATATGTAATATATGAGAATGCCAAGTTGATATATCAATATTTATAATTGACATAATCTAATCGATACATATCACATTGAAAATTCTCTTTTAATCAGCTTATCATATTGTTAACTATCAGAATGGAGTTTGTGTAGATCATATTAATTTTAATAGCTGAATCTATTCTGATCATAATCATCATCATGTAATCATTAGTGACTGAATTCGGAGTTCTAATGATAAGCTGTGACCAATAGAGTTTGATCTGTTTGGGGTAGTGACAGGTATCTACCTAAGACAATGGATAAATGGTTGCACAGTTATTCATGGATCGATGGAATTTAGACATTAACAGAGTTGTATTCCGGTTCAGTGGTCTAATTGTTGTAGATCATCAACGTTGATTATCTATGTCGAATGATTGCAGGCCTACTTGAGTTAGACGGGAAAGGTGTAACAAACAAGCTAACTTCGAAGACACACCTTGTGTTCAGCACCTTACATAGATTACGTATCAAGGGACCATGGATGCTCTGAAGACTGTACAACACAAAGGACGTTATTACAGGAATATATTAGTAGATACAAGCGAAAACGGAACCACTACTGCATGGGTCATTTCATGACGTATGATTAACTGATGCGTATGATTAACTGATGCAGTGACATTTCACTAGCCCTACAATGTTAAGCGTTTGTGCGTGAGACCGAAGGCCCTGGGTTCGAGTCCCTGGAGCGGGATCGCGGACATACATTGATGCACAGTCCCATACTAGGACAATACGGCTATCCAATACTTCTAGGTTTCCAATGGTGGTCTATGATTCATGGATTAATGAATTCGACTATTAAAATATCCATTTAACAGATAAAGAACATCTTGATCTAAACTAAGCAATCCCGTTTCTAAGCTCTGCTTTCTAACTCAGTAGTTTCAAAAAATATTCATCAATAATATCTATCGGTTAAATGCTCTGGCTTCGAGACTGGTAGATCCTGGGTACGAATATCGCTAGTGCGGGATCGTGGATGTGCACTGCTGAGGAGTCCCATAACAGGATGAAACGGCCATCCAATCCTGTTTCTAAGCTCTGCTTTCTAACCTAGTAGTTTAAAACCGTATTGATCAATATTATAAAGGATACGTATTTATTTGAAATTTGATCACAAAATTGACGAGCCACTGTCACAAAGGAAGATAATCTTGCTAAAAGTAGTCAATAAATATTCAAGATCAGAAATACGTTGGAGACAAATGACAACAACCCTACCTACTGTTTTGTAAATTATTCGGCAAGACTATAATTTAATAGACGAACCAATCATATTAAAGATAACAGATTTTGGATTTTAGCGCGAAATTCATTCACTTATTTGCTTAAATAGCATTTAGACAGTTTAGTTGATGGTAGTTCGTGATAAAAACCATAAACCTACTTCTTAACCCCTACTATCAATTGTAAATCATAATCCTTAGTTTCCACACTGCTTTACAACCCTCATATAGCCTTATTAAGTAAGTGGATACATTCAAGGCCACCTTAATGACACTCAGAGGTCATCCATAAGTTATAGTATTACTGAAATACAAAATGTAATGTTATATGAAATTGATGTGCTAAATCTATTCGATTATAATTTACTGAAGGAATGGAGAATACACTAAAGAAGCATTCATATTGAAATCAATTGTTTACAGTAAATGAATATAATAGAGAAAGTGAGTTTCTGTATTACTATTATTATAATTATTGAATCCACTTAGTATTGTTTGTTTGAATCTTCCAATTGATGTTTAAAACTGTAACTGGTCAGTTTCTTATTGGCCATATGTGCATACTGTGCGCATTGCCTCGATATTTCCTTAATTCACAAGCATTCTAAGCAAAGATGGATAGTGACTCAGTGACTGAGTGAATAACGCGATGGAGTTTGAAGCAAAAGGTACTGGGTTCGAGTCCCAGAGTGAACATTAACTCTGAGATGTACGTACATTCATCTCATTCGTCTTAAATAGGACGAATCGTGCGTCCTGGATTCCACTGCTACCCGCTATCCATCTTTGCTGATTATTATTATTATTATTATTTATAGCAGTGAGCGTGTCTTTATTCTCATTGTTAAAAGTACAAATTTATATGACTTCATGTGACATCATTATTTCCATTCATTTTCGTTGCTAAACCAAAACTACACACACACACATTTAGATGATCAACATCAACTGACTAACTGACTGTAGTATCCAACCAGTAAAACGTTATTGCTCTCTCTCTCTCTCTCTCTATATATATATATATATATATATATATATATATATATATATATATATATTGTAGGGGCAGTGAAATGTCACTGAAACCTAGCCAAATCATACGCAGTTGAGTCACTACATATCGAACAGATCACCGATCACCGTCAAGATTAAGGACAATCAACTCGCATCAGTTAATCATACGACATGGACTGGCCCATGTAGCAGTGGTTCTACTAACGCTTGTATCTACTTTAACTAATATATTCCTGTAATAATTTCCTTTGTGCTGTACAGTCTTCAGAGCATCCATGGTCCCCTGATAAGTCGATGGAGCAATCCACGTTTCGACAAGGAACAGACTAACAATATTTAGTTTATGATGTAAGCTCATTTCTACACTTTCAGTCGAAACTATTATCAGAAGAGGAAGGTTGTATAACAGAATAAAAAGTGTGAAATCAGGTCAGTGTGAAAATCGATCAGTATGAGATTTGATTAACTGATGATAAATACTGCTCATTTAAAATTATGCAAGTCGGACTTCTAATCTTGAAAGGATATATAGGAAATTCTATTGAGAAACTGTCTCTAGTAAACTTCAACCGTATGAGATATGAGACACCAACCAATTATTGGTAAGTGATCATGCAACATCGCAAATTGACTAACATTAAACACATGAACCATTAGATCAAAGCTCACTAATCTATAGGTGAAGCTCTCGTTACTAAACCAGAGGGTTCCAAGTGAAAATCCTGCTACAGTAATGGTTACTACTGAAAAGGAGTCCAAAAATAAAATAAAGAGCAATTTAGTAATCCCCAGTCTTCAATAACTGACTCAATAAGCTCATTTAGTTAAAAATAATTTACAATATTGTGAACGCATTGAGCGAATAATTAGTACACTTTCGTACCGCTGCAATCATTATTATAGTTATTATTATCCTCATTAACATAATCTAAAGTACAGATTTATATGCCTTCCTTCATGTGACATCATTATTTCCATTCTGTTTCATTGCTAATTCAAAACTACACACACACACACACATTTAGATGATCAACATCAACTGACTAACTGATTATAGTATCTAACCAATCAAAATATTACTACTCTAGGTTAATTATATGTTGTTCTTGTTCTTGTTGTTGTTGTTGAGTAGGTAGGTGTAAATCATTAATTACTAGATCTATCTATATAAATAACAATTTCGAACGATTATGATTATTATCATTTAACACATGTACTGAACATTCAGTGGATTATTCTTTGTATTCAAAACAACATTAATCACAATCAACAACAGTAACAATGATCATTGAACTACGTCGTTTAGGTGTTAGTCTATTATGCTTAGCAGTGGGTTTGAGTATTGCATCTCTGATAACAAGCTTTTGGGATTGTGGGAATTTATTCTCATCATGTCAGAATACTACTTACAAGGAGACTGTATCAGCTGTTGCTGGTCTAATCATTTTAGGCACTGTATGCCTATTAATCATCATCTTACTGGATGCAGTTGCATTGTGTTCAGATGTTTTCGCCTCACGTGCTCCTTATAAAACTGTACGTTTCATCATATTATACTTGGGTGCTGCAGCTCTCTTGATCGGTGTCTTAGTGTACACATCATTAGTTGGACATCATTGGTCATACTTCTTCGCAGTGACTGGAGCTGTACTAGCAACACAAGTGGCTATATTGGCAATCATGTCGTCAAAATGTGTTACTGTTCGAACCACTACAACAACGAGAACAATTCGAGAAAGTCGGTTGGCACATCGGTAAACCAATGAAAGATTCAAACAATTGTCTTATACTTTCTCATTTATCTCTTATTATCACTCTATATTCTTTTGTGACTAATTGAGCTTGACAATAAGTAACCTGCATTGTATTGTATTGTATATTTAACAGTATTCAATTTTCGTGATGTGTTGTTAGATATCCAATGATTGCTTTATTGTGTGTACTTTGCTTCACTTACTTACGCCTGTTACCCCTCATCGAGGAGCACAGACCGCTCACCAGCATTCTCCATTCCAACTCTGTTATTGTGTGTAGTTTTTCTAATTTAAATATGATATTTATACATATAAATTGTAATCGAGAAGATCACTGAAATAGAGTTTTATTGGACATTCAAAGCTCGATTAGAATGAATCTCTCACTTATTCACCAGGATATTATCGATTAGTGTTATGTTTCACATGTTCGTTTGAATACTCGAAGCACAGTGTGCTATTCTAGTTTTGAGATGGTAAAATGATATCCAATCAACAATGATACTCATAATGATGACACGAACATGATTAAATTACACAATTTCATGTTCATCTAATATGCATTTAGTGATCTTATCAGATGAACGTTGATCATTTGAATAATTGATGCATAGATTGTTGTGCGTTGACCTTCATTCATCTATTCCATCTCACTTTCATTGCCTTCAACAATATGTTGCCGCCGTAATTTTTATGATTTCACAAATTAGAATAAATCTGTATCATGATTAGTATCAATCGTTGTTTTTCACAAATACATTACAAAACACGAAGAATTTGTAGATTGAGGGAATAAATACCACAGATTGATTCTTAATGTTGTTTAAACAGGGAATCACTTGTGATCATTGTGTATCTGTTATGGGGATGCATTTAGTGAGTGATTGTTCTTTTGAATTGTCAAGATGAATGAACAGGATTCCGATCGACTGGTGGTTGTTGGATGCTCACAAGACCAAATTATTGAATTATTGAATCGATGAGTAAGCTAATATCAAGACGAGATTATTGACTAGGATAATAAGTTGCTTATCGAGCATAATAGCGTGTCAGTGTACAAGTTAGTAATAGAAACATAGATGTGTTCAAGTGTTGAGATGGATTGGGAGTAGCCAGTTCCGTGTGTTACTCAATGTGTAATTGATTAGTACATGATTATCAGGGTTAGTGACTGACTGATTATTTTCGTATCTGCAACTGATTAGTATACTTGGAATTAATCGTTTTAGCATAATCTGTTCAACTAAAAAATAGATCAGTTTGAAAGCAGACAGATGTCAATCATTTAGAAGTGATGCAAAACGATCGAAGAGATTTCTAGTCGACATTGACATTTGGAAGTCACAAACTGTTACGACTTTGGGACCAATTACTTTTATTCAAGTGTCTACTCAGTCTGATGGAAACATTGTGTGAATCGTCATAGAGAGGGACTCAGTTAACAAGTAATGTGCCAAAACCTATTGTCCCAATTCAAATCATTTGATTAGTTAGTTAGTCATTAAATAAAAGCTACTTAATCGACGATTGCATTCATTATTGAGTGATTTTAGGTGGTCTGTATGGTGACTCTGTTGTATGTGATGGTGGAGATAAACAAATACAACTAGATCACTATGAAAGTATCAGTCTCCCCAAATGATTCATCTTGATGTGGTGAATAGGATATTGTGGTCTAACATATTACAGATGGAAAAACGTTTTCCCTATTGTACTGTGTTAAACTTGTGCATTAATGATCTATGGAATTATGTCATACAAAAAGCACTACTCAGTAAGATGAATTATATTTGAATGGTTATCACTTTAACGAACATTGAGAATCAGAAGGAGTTTTTCGTGGATATTTCAATATTTTCATAGTTGAAATCATTAGTCAATTGAAGCTAGACTACCATGGAAAACCTGGAAGCCTTGGATGTCCGTTGGATGCCGGCTCAGTGGTCTATCGGTTAAGTGCTCCGGCGGGAGGCTGGTAGGTTCTGGGTTCGAATCCTCCGGGTGCGGGATCGTGGGTGTGCACTGCTTAGGAGTTCCAGTGCTTCTAGGTTTTCGATGGTGGTCTAGCTTCAATTGACTCATGATTTCAACTATGAACATTGAGAATGACAGAATATTGACTGCTGGTAGTTGAGTTTCAACCACTTTACCACCGATTTCCATCCAAGTATTCATCCAATATTGATAATACTAAGGAATGTTACTAAGCTAATTATATGAGACAGGACGCCGATTTTACTGTTTTTCAGCTGTTTGAACAATAACAATAGCAAAAGACTGTTCTCGTGCACATAACTCTGATTTTCATTGATAGACGGTTAACGCATTAGGAATTCAGTTTACGTTTAGACGTATTCCCCATTAAACATCTAACTAGGTATGTTAAATTGTGTCACATTGATGAAGTTTTGAGGATAAATATCTTGAAGTTACTACATATTGCTGTCTGGAAAATGTGATTGTTTTAATTCACACAGTTGTGTCCAAGGTGGCATTTATTATCCGTGTTTCTCCTGAGATATGGGGTCTTTATAATCCAGTCGACAATCGGATAAAAGAGTAAAAGAAAGAGAGCGCAGTCCTGTCTAACACCAGTCTTCATTTGGAATGCATCTGTTAGCTGTACTTCATGCACGACTTTGCAATTGAGTTTCTCGTCAGATTCGTGTATAATGATGGCTTTCTTCTCAGATACTTTATAGTTTCGAAGATTTCACAAGGTTCTCCTATTCGTACTATTCAGTTCATCCTTATGATCAAGAGAGTTAATTTAGAGTGATGAGTTCTCTTCGATCCATTATTCAGTAATGATGTACATTATTGCTATTTGGTTGATACATAATCCATCCTGACGAAAGCCACTTTATTGATATTTAAGTTTGTATTCTACTGAATCTTTTACGCAGTCAAGTAACACTCCGTCGAAAAGTTTCGCTAGTACTGGCAGACGCTTCATTCATCTGTAGTTCTCACACTTACTAAAATCTTCTTTCGTTAGTAAATTGATGTAATATCCCGTATTCCAGTTAGTGAGTACTTTTCCTCACTCTCAAATCATTATGATTAGAACGTGGAACATCTTTGTAGTTACCCTTATATCTAAATTCAGAGTTAAAGTTTGTAGGCTGTCTGGTCCTGCCACGTTACCATGTCGCATTTATCTGATGCCCTTACCGATTTCTTCCACTATGGTGGTTTATCGCTCATATAGAGGACTGTGTGTGCTGCCTCGATGTTGGTTGGTTTCAGTGGGACTGATCTATACAAGGGTTCTTCAGAGTGTTCTACTCACTGGGTCCACTGCTCTTCATCCCTACTGATTGTTTTTGCTTCTTCGTTCCTGACTGGTCTCTCTGGTTTGTTATATTTGCTTTCTATCTTTGATACATTTCTTCACTCATTTGTTTGTTTCCGTATACTCAGTGTTTGTTTTGTTTTTCTGTGCTCCTATTCGGCAGTTGTAGTTTACTGTTTTTTGTTTTTTCTTCCTCAATTCTGAACGAACCATCTATAGAGACCCAATTTTATGTTTATACAACTTGAAGGTCAACACTTCATGTCATGTTAGAATCGTTACTTCTCCAATTCTTTTCCAAATTTTCTCTGTGGTGGTTTCCCTTTCTTTGGGTAGATCTTGTGAGTCCTGGAACTTTTTGAGAGTTTCTTTGAACTATCTGAGTCTGTTAGCGTCTCAAATGTAGGTTGAATCATACTTTTACAGTGCTGCCTGATCAGTTATCTAGTGCTTCTTCTGCTCTTCGTGGTGATCTGAAGCTACATCAGCTCCTCTCTATGTTCTCATGTCTTCTGTGGAAATTCCGCTATTTTTATTCATCAAGATGTGATTAATCTGGTTTTATGTAGCCGGGTCCGGTGAAACCCATGCAGCTTTGCGAGTGTGTTTTTGTGGAAAATCGGTGCCACATATAACCATGTTGGTGAAAGCAAATAGACTTACTTATCTCTCGACATTATCACTCACTTCTTTTATTCATTTTTTCCCCATGGTGCCTCCATACCCAATGTCACCCATGCCAACTTTATCATCTAGGTTGTGGTTCTTGGATATAATCAATGCTTTCCTCCATGACCGGCTTGAATCCAATTAATTCCACTCATTCTAAAAAGATTTAGCTTGTATCTTATCATTCCCTTGGTTATTTGTCTAGAAATTTCATGCAATTATATTAATTGTTGCTCAAGTTCTTAAAAGGATCATCAGTGTCCCAGCTTTTGAATAATCTTTAGTTTCACCATGAGTTGTCATAATTTTTCCGTATGAAGATCCTTCAATCTTCAAGGCAGAATTTGTATAATTTTAATGTATTTTTTCGGTTGACATGTTTGTTGTGCGGTTGCTTTTTACTAGGTGACATTCTTAATTTATTCCTAACCCTCTTTTTTTTACCTGTGCTTGCAACCGGTAGTAACCACGTAGGGGCTGATAATTGCTTTATCCGAAATATTACATTCTACTTGTATTTTGATGCCATTATAACTGTGATAACCTGAATTCAAGAGAGAGGGGAACTGAGATTTTGAGGTAGTATGTGCAAATAAATTTAACCTTAATTCATTCATTTAAAACTGTTTAGCTAGTTGAACAAACAAATCAAAATCATGTACTCAATTACAAGGTTCTTATACTCATTGAGTTATACAATTCGAAACAGACTTCTATGAAGTATAATTCAGAAACAAACGACTTCTATTGACCTGCTTACCCACTGTAATCGAAATAATAAGTAAACCTATGTGACTCGAATCCAGTACAGTTCGCTTTAAACACCATCACATTATCTACTTAGCTACTGATCAATTGAAATTCTAAACATCGATCAGAAGATTTGAGTAAACAATAACAAGTGAATTTATGGTCAGGTAGGGCCAGTGAAATGTCACTGAAACCTAGCCAAATCATACGGTAGTAAGGTCACTACATATCGAATAGATCATCGATCACCGTCAAGGTTAAGGACAATCAACGCTCATCAGTTAATCATACGACATGGATTGGCTCATGCAGTAGTGGTTCTACTTTCGGTTGTATCTACTTCAACTAATATATTCCTGTAATAATTTCCTTTGTGTTGTACAGTCTTCAGAGTATCCATGGTCTCTTGATAAGTCAATGGTGCAATCGACGTAAGGTGCTAATCGCGAGGTGTTACTTCGAAATTAGTTTAATTCTTTATACCGTTCCCGTCTTACTCGATTAGGCCTCCAATTATTCGACATAGATCATCAATATTGATGGTCTACAGCTTCAAACACTATCACATTATCTACTTAGCTACTGATCAATTACAATCCTAAACATCGATTAGAAGATTTGAGTTAACAATAATAAGTGACATTATGGTCCCATTTATTTGATACACTTATTACCAATTTTAGATATATAGAAAAATAAATACGTGAATTTATCACATAAGAGATTGTACTGTTAACTTATTGAAAAAAGAATATTATTATTGTTATAAACTATCGAATGAAAATTTTGAAAAGTGAATAAATTTTTGAAAGGAACCTTATTAGATTAGAATAAATTAAAAAATTTCCATGGTAACAGTAAAATTGCAATCATAAAGGATACGAATATAGTTAAAGAATATACAAGCTAATACGTGATAATCTCTTCTATGTATTTATAAAAGACAACTTCAGATCAATTTGGTAAAATAAAAAGGAATATGATAGATGAAGGGACTTAAAATTATGTGGTGTAACACACTTATCAAGTACAGATTTACGAAATTAGCTCTGGGCTATAGATTTATTCATGTAAAGTAATTGACTACTCAAATTAAATTGGATGGTTTAAAAACAAATAGTATTCAAGTGTACAGTTGTTTACAATACCTTCATCATCAGGTTCTATTGGTATAAATCCGTAGTTTTATTGCATAACAGATTATACATAAGTAAGTGAATTCAACAATAGTTTAAAATAGTAAACTTTTGCATCGATGACAGTTTAGATATGCCCGAAATGAATCATAAAAAAAATTGAAAGGTCACTTGAGGAAGGAGCAGAAAATTCGTCATAAGGTGAAATACTCAGAGTGCCCTTTCTTCCGGAACTTATGAACACACACATTGCTTAAAAAAAAGATGGATAGTGGCTAGCAGTCGAATCCAGTGTGACGAGCGTTTCGTCTTATTTGGGACTCGTCAGATGAATGTACTTGTATCTCAGAGTTGATGTTCACTCTGGGACTCGAACCCAGTACCATTCTCTTCAAACACTATCGCATATCCATTCAGCTACTGAGTTCTGATAGCCAACATCAACTGTGAGATGCGGGTACATACAGCTGACGACTTCCAAATAGGACGAAACGTGCTTCCTGGGTTCCACTGCTAGCCACTATCCATCTTTGCTTATAATACTTGTGAATTAAGGCTATGTCGAGGCAATACACACAGTATGCACATATGCCAATAAGAGACTGACCAGTCGCAGTCCAAAATCGTCAATGGGAAGATTCAACCGAACAATACTAAATGAATATATACTACTTATATTGACATAAGTAGCACACACCACAGGACAGGAGATTTCTCCTTTTACATAGTTTATTCTCATAACTGTATTGTTTCGATTAACTTAACAACAATATATCTCTAACCATGTATTACATTCGAATGATTTATTCTATTACATTGATTTTTATTCAACACCTTCCAAAGGACTTTTTACCTTTGAAGTTTCTAAATTTACTAATCAATGTAACTAAACCGTTAAGAATCAACTGACTTCCTATAAGTTATATGATGGAATCATAATTTACAAGACATCTAGCTCACATAATTTACTTTACCTCATTAAATCACAAAATACAAATCTATATACAATTGATTTGATAGATGTAATGAGATACGATTCATATGCAGAGTAAAGTATTCAACGAAGAAATACATTTATTACTATTATTAATGGCACATTTGCCAATAAGAGACTGATCAGTTGTAGTCCTAAGCATCAATGGAAAGATTCAAGCAAACAATATCAAGTGAATTTAAACTTCACCCCATTGCACAAGCAAGTGGCTATCAGGACTCAGTAATTAAGTGAATAACGTGATGGCGTTTGAAGAGAACCGGACTTAGTTCGAGTCCCATTACTTACTTACTTGGATACAATGGGCAATTAAAATGCAACTGGACGATGATCTGACTCTTTTATCACAAGCTGAACAAGAAATGCAGAAGAAGACGACCAGTGTAGCAGCAGCCTCAGCAGCAGTAGGTCTCAATATAAACAAACGGAAAAGCGAGATTCTCCGATGAAGCACAACATACAACACTTGAATCATACTCGAAGGATAAACTTTGGAAGATGTAAAACCTTTACATATCTGGGCAGCGTCATTGATGAACACGGTGGATATGATGCAGATGTGAGGGCAAGGATTGGCAAAGCAAGAGCAGCAGATTTAAGACTGAAGAACATCTGGAACTCAAAACAATCGTGAATCAACACCAAAATCAAAATTTTCAATAGAAATATCAAGATAGTTCTACTGTATGGGGCGGAGACGTGGAGAACTACTAAAGCCATCATTCAGAAGATATAAGTGTTTATTAACAGTTGTCTACACAAGATATTTTGGATCCGTTAGCCAGACACTCTCAGCAACATTTTATTGTGGGAGCGAACAAACCAGATTCCATCCATTGGAGGAAGAAATCAGGAAGAATCGTCGGAAGTGGATAGGGCACACTTTGAGGAAATCACCCAACTGAGTCAGAAGGCAAACCCTCACATGGAATCCTGACGGCCGAAATAGAAGAGGAATATCAAAGAACACATTATGTCGAGAAGTGGAGACAGACATGAGAAGAATGAACAGCAACTCGATAGAGCTAGAAAGGAAGACGGAGGACAGAGTGGGTTGAAAAATGGTGGTCGGCTGCCTATGCTCCATTGGGCGAGGTAACAAGCGTAAGTAGGTAAGTTCGTGTCCCATAGTGAATATCAAGTCTGAGATGCAAGAACATACAGCCAAAGAGTCTTAAAAATAGAATGAAACGCACATGCTTGATTCCATTGCTAGTTACTATCCATCTTTGCTTATAAAGACTATTATTATTATTATTATCATTATTAATAATCAGTAATCAATAAATTTTTCTTCAAAATATGAATATAACCAATGAATTAAGTTTACTATTATTAGTATCATCATCTTTATTATTATCATTAAGATCAAAATTACTCCCCCCCCCCTATTTTTTTCTATTTTTTTTCCAATAATAATATCTTTATAATTGTTACTAGGTTCCATGAATAAAAAAAAAATTTTTTTTTAAAAAAAAAATACATACTCAAAGTCAATCAATATCATTTAATTATTATCAATAACCAATAAATAGTTACTATCCCACGTAGTTATGTGTCACTTTTTGTTGTTGTTGTTGTTGCTGAGTAGGTGTAAATCAATCATGAATAGACTTCTATATATATATATATATAATATATTACACCTTTAATAGTTAATCTTAACAACAAATCATTATTGATTTGTTACTAATAAATGTATTAAGAACAGTTCAGTGTGGATTATACTACAATCTACTTACTTCAATATTTCAATTCAACATCTACATTATTCTAATCATAATGAGAGTAATTAATGGAAATTATATTCTATGTATTATTTTATTAATTATAACATTAGGTTTATGTATTACATCATTAAGTACAGATTATTGGAATTGTGGTAATTTATTTACAACATGTCGTACTATTGAAGATCAATTTATCATTTTATCAATGGCTAGTTTATTTATTTTAAGTAGTTTTTCTATACTACTTATTATTTTATTAGATATTATATGTTTACGTTCAGAGAAATTTTCTTCACATTATGCTTATATAATAATACGTTTTATATTATTATTAATATGTGCTATAGCATTATTAATTGGTGTTTTATTATATACAATATTGATTGATAAACATTGGTCATATTTTTGTGCTATAGTTGGATCTGTATTAGTAACAATTGTAGTTATATTAACAATTATGTCATGTCCATGTACAAATAAAGACGATTATACTAATAAAACTTTTTAATGGAACTTCATTGATGAAACAATATGGACAGTATGAAGAAGTGATCCGTTTTTTTTTGGAGGGGGGGGGTCTTAGTTACTAAGATAGTGTTCTCAAATGTACTCCATTTTTGTTTTTTCTTATTATCATTTTGTAACTAAGTTATCTTACGTAATAACATTCTTGTTGTTGTTGTTGTTGTTGTTGTATATTTGATGAGATACATTGCTCATACCATCTTCTTTTCAAATTTCCAATGTTTGTATTGTGCTAAATTCAAATATGATATATATATATAAACCATAATCATACTGAAATGAGTTTTGGATTAGTTACTAAGGTATATTGGGCGTACTACCAGACAATTGAATCAAAGAGTTTGTGAACACCTCCCTTCGTGGTTAGGAAAAAGGTATTGTCAAGTCAATATGGATGTCGGTTCTTCTACACTTGATTGATAGCGGTCATATATAGTTGACAGAAATCAATTAGACATAAACACCGTTGGATACCGGTCAGCTCAGTGGTCTATCGGTTAAGGCCCCGGCTCGAGACTAGTTGGTCCTGGGTTCGAATCTCGCGAGTGCGAGATCGTGGATAAGCACTGTTGAGAAGTCCTATAATAAGACGAAATGGCCGTCCAGTGCTTCCACGTTTTCCATGATAGCCCAGCTTCAATTGTCTCATGATTTCAACTACATAAAGATAATAATCACTTCAAATTATACAATCAGATTATTAAATGGATTGAATAAGAATAAAATCCGATTTAAATTTGTGTAAAACTAAAGAAATTTCAAGGATTGTAAGAATAATTAGAATGAAGATCAGGATAGATTAAAGGGAACTCTATAAGTAACTTTAAAAGCTAACAATATATCTTTTCGGTGACTAGTATTAACTAGATTATCCAGAAGAGATCTTTCTATTGTTTTATCTTATCTTTTATTCAATCATGAGGGGTGATGGTCAGAAATATGATTATGTAATCGCTTGATTGTATACCAAATATAACTGACTCTTCAGGAGTAGTTAGATTGGTAAATAAATATAGAAGCGGCAAAACTGAGTAGTTTATCTTTATCTAGTGAATTAACTACTAATTATAGAAGGGGTTTTGTGGAGATTTAGTATTTATCATAGTTGAAAGCGTGAGTCAATTGAAGCTAGAACACCATGGAAAACCTGGAAACACTGGACGGCCGTTTCGTCCTATTATGGCACTCCTCAGCAGTGCGCATCCATGAACCCGCTCTCGCGAGATTCGAACCCAGGACGTACCAGTCTCGAGCCGAAGCCCTTAACCGACAGACCACTGAGCTGGCATCCAACGGTGTTAATGTCTAACTTCAACTGATCCACGAAGTTGACCAACCGTTCACAAATTGTCTTCAGTGAGTTGATATCTCACAACAGACGTGGTTTTGAGCTCCACTGGTCACTGCTTCTCACTAGAGCTCCTAGATATACTTCTCGAAGTAAATGGTTGCTCAACTTCGTCTACAAACGATTTAGTACCCTCACGCTCATACCACGATTAGATATCGTGTCGACCCCTCGTGCCTCAAAATCCGGAGCACGGTTTATGGTCATCGCTCTGGTATAACACCAGACCTAATGGGCCTAGCCAAACACTTAGTCTAGTCAAGACACCGAAAAGAATACGTAAGCTTGCCCAGACACATGTCGGATACAGAATATACCGTTGCAGCTAGTTATATTCAAAGCAAGATTAGTTCAATCATAATATTTATATCACCTATAAGCTAAATCTTTACAACAATATAATTCTCAGATGATCAACCTTAATTACCTAAACAATCATTAAAGTAGTTAATCTGGAAACTTCTAACTATCTATTAATAAAAGATGGATAGTGGCTAGCAGTGGAATCCAGGACGCGTGTTTCGTCCTATTTGGGACTCATCATCTTTGCTCATAATGCTTGTGAATTGAGGCTATATCGAGTCAATACGCACAGTATGCACATATTGGCCAATAAGAGACTGACCAGTTGCAGCACTAAACATAAATTGGGAGATTTAATCAAACCATACTAAGTGAATTTAAACTTCACCCTCTTGCACAATCAGGTGGCTATCAGCACTTAGTAGCTAAGTGGATAACGAGATGGCGTTTGAAGCGAAAGGTACTGGGTTCGAGTCTCAGAATGAACATCAACTCTGAGATGTAGGTAAACCCAGCTGACGAGTCCAAAATAGGACGAAACGCGCGTCCTGAATTCTACTGCTAACCACTATCCATCTCTGCTTATAATGCTTGTGAAGTAAGGCTGCATCGAGGCAATACGCACAGTATGCACATATGCCAATTAGAGTTTGACCAGTTGCAGTCCTAAACATCAATGTTAAGATTCAAACAAGTAATACTAATTGTCAATTAATATTCTTACATTCAAAATTCTTTCTATTCAATGCACATATGCAAATAGATATAAATTCATAACCTGGAATTCATAACTCAATGAATTACATTCAAATGAATACATGATCATAATACAATCACATTGATGACCTAAAATAGTAATAGTATATGTGATCATCATATGTGATCATATAGATGATCTGAATAATAATAATAATGACATGTAAAACTATGCATGTATTCAATTAATATGTTAAATAGTTTACCATTACTATAAATAACCTTTCTTCTATGTATGTAGATCACCTTTATTCAGTGTATATATGTAAGGTAGAATTATAGTACAGTTAAAAGTATGATGAATATGCATAATCCGAAAGTGTTTTTTTTGTAGAGATTTAGTATTTGCATAGTTGAAAGCATGAGTCAATTGAATCTAAACCACCATGGAAGCACTGGACGGCCGTTTCGTCCCATTATGGGACTCCTCAGCAGTGCACATCTACGACCGATAGACCATTGAGTCGGTATCCGATGGTGTTAATGTTTAACTTCAACCAATCCACCAACTTCACCAACCGTTCACCAATTGTCTTCAGTCAGTAGATATCTCACAACAGACGTGGTTTCAACTCCACCAGAAACTGCTTCTCACTAGAACTCAATGTAATATCTCTTCAAGTCAGTCACTAGTGAGTATATGATTATCATCATTAGAGGATTTTTGTTGAGATTTAGTATTTGCATAGTATATGCAAATATATAGTACATATTATTACAAAGAGATTTTATTAGGTTCGAACACTAATGTGAATATTAAATATTGACATTCAGTTAAAGAGTTCAAAATAAGGACAAAAGCGAGTTCTATATTGTACTACTGTGGTGTGGGTTACTTATATCCACATAAGTAGTATATGGTGGTGGTCAGATATAGAATGTATTTTGGCAGAAGATCGATAAAAAAAGAACCGAAATGGAACGCAATTGGTATGAAAATGTATGACCAATGAAATCAGAGAAGATGGACTGATATTTACAGAAGGAACAATCAAGATTGAGTCAATTGATTGATATTTTGCAAATTAACTATTAACTGTATGGTTATCAGATTTTAGAGAGATGGTTCGCAATTTGTGCTTAAATACATTCGATTGTTCCCACCCATGTTCTTGATCACTATACTACTAGGCCAGAATTTATTTGTTTTAGCTTTAGGAAAGGTAAAACCTTTGTTATTTAGAGAAATAGTTCGTGTATAATGTTAAAGAGTCTCATATTAGAACAGGTACTGTTCAAGTTCCTGTGGTTATCCCATAGAGAGACAAATCTAAAACGACTTTTATGTTCCAATTCAAGAAATTAACATAAAAAAACTACCGCGTCATCAGTGGTACCCTAAATTTCTTACACATTCCAACAGTATACTATTCACACCATTTTTATTTGATTTACTTAATTCATGTTGTTTCTTATTTTGAGTGACTTTTCGTGTATAAGGATCAGCTAACAGAAATATTACGAGTGAATGTCGGTGTCGGACAAGGCTGCTTACTCTCTCTCTCTTTCTCTCGCCTTTTTCTTTCTTCTGGTGGTCGACTAGACTATGAAGAACTTCACATCTGAGGGAAAGCACGAAATACAATGAACGGGTTGGATACAACTAGATGATTTGTACTTCACAGATGACACAGCTCTTTTATCCCATACACATGAACTAATACAGGTCAAGACAAACAATGTAACAACAGTCTTTAGATCAGCCCCCCCCCTTCCAGCCATATTGGAATGGTGAAGCCTATTGGCCCTTCTGGGATGAGTGCCACTGCACGGCACAACTACCGGGGTGTGATAGTTGTTTTTGCATGCCACGCGGAACCATTACATAACTTTCACACGTACCCATTTTTTTGTCATTTTCTTTTTGTTTTTGTTTGGGCAGACTTTTTTTTCTCTCTATTTTTGCACTCTCAATAGCTATATAATGATTCCTTGTAGCACTCGGTAATCATTTTGTGGGTATAGGTAGAGTGGGTGATTAGTCCGATCTCCACCACCCGGGTTACCGCTCACGTTAGTTCATGGAAACAATCCCATGATCCAGGAGGCACGACGAGGACGTGTGAGTCGGATTTTACCTCCCTCTTTAGATCAGTAGACCTCAGCATACACAACGGAGAAAGCAACGTCCTCAAATACAACACAAAGAAAATCAACTGAACCACATTTGATAGAGAAACTCAGGGAAAGGTGGTAACTTTAACGTATCTGGATATTATCATCGATAAACAAAGAGAATCTCATGCAAATTTGAAGGTAAAGATTGGCGAATTAAGAGGAACATTCCTAAAATTAAAGAACATATGAAACTCAACACAAACTTTAACCAACACCAAAGTTAGGATCTTCAATACGAACATATGTTCGTACGTTCATACGAAACTATGGAGCTATTTCAAACCTAAAAATATATTGACAAACTTATTTGAGTTAAAATCTTAAATTCATATGTTTTATTAAATTTACTTTGTATTGTTTACTTGAATCATCCCATTGATGTTTAGGAGTGTAACTGGTCAGTCTCTTATTGACATATGTGTACGAGTATTGTCTTGATATAGCCTTAATTCACAAAC